TTGTTACACAAACAGCTCCAGACAGTACTAATCTTTTTCTCTAATGCATGCGTGCATCATATTTTCGCCACTCTTCACTTTTCTCAATGCAACAGCGCAGAGTGCCAGATGCTTGCACAGTGATGGATGCTGTACGGAAAGACAGGCAGGATGAAAGGGTTTCACATGTCAGGGTATGTGGTTTCTTGATGTTTTTGTGTTGAAGAAGTGGACTGAGTGTATGAGAAAGGCGACAACTTTATTATAAGCAGACCCTCTGCTGAGAAATTACAAGTCATTTATGACTCTTAAATATCTTCTGCTTCAAAGAGCGTCCAGTGTCTGCCTGTCGTCCAGCCTCCTAGAAGCAAACGGCTATTTCCTCTTCCCTCTATGCTTCTTGTATCTGTTTTGTCTCATATGATGAGCTCAGCTGAGCACGTCTTCGTCTTTTTCATCTTCTTTTTCATAGTGAGGCGTGTCCCGTTGGAACGGGAAAACTGGATTGACTCATCTGCATTGTCAGTGTCAGAGTGGTTGCGGATCGCCCGGTCATGTTTGGGCCAATAAGCCGTCAGGATTGCAGGAGTTCCCTGCTCTGCTTTGGCTGTTGGAATGGCCAAATGGTGGGCTTACTGCTTTTTGGCATGCTGCCCGGTCCCTATAAAACAGCAATGCTCTAAAGACTTTGCTTGTGATATTGTTCTGATTTGGAGTCATGTTTTTCACACTATACCGTTTATTTGCATGCAATTTATGATGTGAGAAACCCAAAGGAATTGAACTTCACTGCATGCAGTGCAAATCGCTGCCATTAAGCTTATAGTGCATGGTGTTGTGTTTTTCAAGAAGCCATCTGCACAGAGCAGGAGATGCTGTTGTCTGGTAGTGAGCACTCACGGGTCACTCATTTAACTTGTAAAACCACAAGATCCCATTTCAAATGCTGTATATGAATGAGTGTTCAGTTTGCATGGTTGTCATGCAGCTCAGCAGGTACATTAAAGTGAAAGGTTAAGCTTTTGTCTGCGTTTGTTTCTATAGGGCAGAGTAGAGCTCTTCAATGTGTTTGTATTTTTAGTGCATCAGTCAGATTGTGCTTTCATTGTTTAATCTATACATGTTTAGGTAAAAAACTCCTGACTCTAAATGTTGGGTTTGAAGTCGGCCGTCAGTATTATGTGTGATGGAGGAATTGGATGCAAAGCAAAATGAAGCTGCAGAATCAGCAGCTGTCTGCAGTTTGCATCAAGGTTATTATCATTAACTAAAATTGACGAAATGTTGGAAACAAAATAAAAAAAAAAAGAAAAATTCAATAACTGAAATCAATATGAAACTTGGACCTTGCGCAAAAAAAAACAACAACAAAAAACTGAAACTGTATAGGATTTTTCAAAATGACTGAATTTGAAGGGAGAGTGTTTTTGTTTTTATGTTGGGTCTAGTTTCTGGTTTATGTCTACACTTTTTTTTTTTTGCTAGACCAGATTATGCCAGCAGGTGGCAGGTATGGGAGGCAGGTCATTTGTGGTGTTGCAGGGCTCTGTTCTTATCAGGGATTCTATTTCTTTCTTTATGATTTTTATTTTTTCTAAGTCTTACTCCTAGTTTGCAAGTCATATTGGATTAAAAAAAAAACTAAAAAAATTTGATACTAATAAAAACTAAACTTAAAATAAACATTTTGAAAAAATTTAAACGAAACAAAACTAGATAATACAAAAAAGGAATTGAAACTAAAATAAAATATAAAACCAAAGTCCAAATTGAATAAAAATCCATTAAAATTTCAAAACTATTTAAACCATTGCTCTGTTCAGAGATGAGACATCCTAGTGATTTAAAGAATCTGTTGGTCAGCAGAACCTGATATGGACACTGTTATTAACCATGCACAACAATGTTTTATTTAAAACATCAAATGTAACAATAGGCATGGAGTTCTGCTCCTTATATTCATTCTTTGTTTTCAACCAAAACCACTACGAAGTTTTTTTGTTCAGTCTTGGATAATTTTATCAAAGCAGATGTTTTTAGTGAAGCGACTTCCATCAATATAGTTGCATTTATTTTGAAGGGATTCTAAAAAAGCCAAAACATGAAACCACTTATGTTTAATAAACATTAGTTTAGTAGATTTATAAATGGATTTATCTACATTTCCAGTTTGTCATCATGCTTCTGCACTAACTGGATTTCTATTGAGGATTTTCATACCCATCTTTACCAAAGCTGCCAGCGATTTATTTTCACATCAGTAGAAAACTGTTTAAAATGCGAAACATTGTCTTTTCCTTTGAAGCACAGAGGATCCTAATAATCGTTTCTTTATTGATATTTGTGGATGGGGCGTGGCACCCTGCTGCTGAAAGCATTTGTTGGCCATGGGTCAGGTTAACTTAACAATCAGGACTAGGATTTGAAATGCAAACACTTCTCCCTCCCAGCCTGCAGACTGTTTCACTCTAATGAAGACTGTTTTTTTTTTTTCTTCTTCTCATTCCTATAACGTGTTGCAGAAATTACAAAGTTACTTGTCCTCCTCATTTGGGGGTGTTATTTATAAAGTTATTCTTTTCTCAATTTAAAACTGTACTTTGAGCAGTTTTTTTTTTTGTTTTGTGTTTCTTTGTTAACAGTTGTAACTTTAGTTTGGTGAATTTTGAAGTGCTTGTAATAATCCATGTATTGGATCTGGAATATTAATCAGGTATTTATCGGATTAATCTTGATTAATCCGATATTGAAATAATCATCAACTAATTTAATAACGTATAAATCATTAACTGGAGTATAGAGACACTAAATCAGGACTTTAGCTGACAAAGCGACCATCTTGGAGCAGTAATTATACCAAAATTATTAAAAGAATATGTAAAACATTTTACATTTAAGATAAAAATAACTTTTTCCATCTGTCAGTATGCTCTATCCAGAACTCATCGAGTGGAAAAGCTTTAGTTTCACCTGATTTAGTTTCATAAAATGTCTTCTTTAAGGAACCTTTTGCTATCCGATTATGAATCAATTAATCAGAAAAAAGAATAGACAGAATAATCGATTTGCAAAATAATTGTTAGTTACAGCCATGATCTGGAACAATTTTTGTTTTTCACTACACCTGTTTTTCCTTATATGAATTGCATTGGTTTCATAAAAGGTGCTTGGATCACCTTAAGGTCACAGCAGCCACGTTATCAGACAATGTTTGTCTGGTCCAAAATCTACTCCAGATGTTTGTTTTTTTTCATTTGTGTTTTATGTCTGTCTTCTTAGTCTGTTGCTCTCATCTTTGGAGAAACTGCAGCTAAAGCCAGAGAATGTGGAGTCTCTCTCTGTGCAGTCACTTGATTCCCTTTCGGTTTAGTCACCAGTCGTTAGCATTCCTCCTGCGTTCCTATTGGCTAATAGAAACGGATTGCAGCCTATGGTTAATTTTGTAATCAAGAGGGAAAAATGCAGCATGACTAAACCTGAGCAAATGCCTTGAGACGAAAAAACCCAACCACTATGTGATTCATATATGTTCCAACATTTTAGAACATTAATGTTGGTGCCAAGTTTTTTTCTAGCGTAGGGTCCTGACTTCACTGCCTCTGTTAACTTGCATGGATACGTTTTAACAGCTGCTTGTGGGACAAACAGGAACACTTTACTACGGCGTGTCCTTTAGGGCGTGCTTGCAGACGCATGCTCGATATCTGTAATAAAGCTGCTGTCCCTCTGCTGAGCCGACAGTCACAGGCGTTGCCCGGTTATAAGACGGCATCTTAATAGGTCAAATACCCCCGCAGCCACTCCTATATGACTGATTGCAGATCTGTTCTAATGCATAGAACTCACTTGCCCTCAGGATCGGAAATAAAAGCTTATGCATAGTTTCAAAAATTAAAAAATTGCACCCGCTTATAATCTAGTAGTCCCAGTCGACCTAATTATAAATAATAAAATAGAAGACATTATCTCTGAATTGAGATATCACTGTGCATACAGCACACAGAAACATGTCATTACATAGAAGGTAAACTTCTTTATAGTGTGGAATGTTAGAAAAGGTTGATTTAGTAATATTACCTAAACAGAATACTGGTCAACAACAACAGGTATGAGAACAACCAACCATGTATTATTAACCAGGAGGTTAATAAATGTAGTATAGAAAAGGAGTGTTTCTATCAGCTGGCTCGTATCTAAGATTATTAGAGGCAGTCTGCTATTCGAATTTTTGGCTGATGTTGGACCGATTTCCAGTTTCAATATTTAATAAGGACATCCTTAAATTGGCCAGTTATGAAATATTTATTACTATGTTGTATTTTGGTGGCATTATCACAGTTTTCAGCCTTGAAATGTAACTTTAGACTTGTAATGAATTATGAAAACAACATGCAGTATGATTGCTAAATATCATTATGGTCATTTTCTTGATTGTTGCCATATTATAAACTAATTTTTAGATATAAAATACATAAATTCAAATGATTTGTAGTTAAAAAAGGCTGTCCGGATGTAATAACTAAACTATGTACAGTTGTAGGTTTTGCATGCAGTTTAATACGGCCGGTCAAGTCTTTTCCTCTATGGGGGGCTGTTTCTATAGTGTGTTTGTTTGCTTTTGATTCACTTTACACTCATTTTATTTTGACTATTTTTTAAAAAGAAAGGAAGGTACTGATCTGGGTTTTTTAAAACTGATTTCCAGCTGTCTTTTGAGGTCTGACCTGCTGAGTTTCCAATGTAGGCTCTAACGAAACAGGATCAAATGTGTAAATGAAAAGTAAAACATTTTGCCCTGTTGATTATTTAGGAGCTGATTCTGATTTTCTACTGATCGATTAGTGCTGTAGATCCTGTTTATTTTATTGGGGTTTCTCAGTGACCTGCAAGGCCTTCTTTACCTTTTCAAGCTTTTGCTTTAGGTATTGTTTTTGCAGACAGAGTTTCACTTTATGCAGACTTATTGTTGGTGTTCTTCTCCTTATATATTAGCCTCATTTTAATTTCTACTTGTGTTTCAGGCTGAGTCTGGATATGGTTCAGAAACCAGTTTGAGGCGTCATGGTTCCATGTTGTCTCTCACCTCAGCTGCCAGTGCCTTGTCTTCCGCATCCACGTCCTCCTTCAAGGTAAAAGTAATAATTTCAGACCAAGTGTTGTATTTTCAAGATTTGACTTTGATTTGACAATTGTTGTTTTACTTCTGTGTTTTCCTCTCTTTGCTCAGAAGGGCCACAGGCTTCGTGAGAAGCTGGCAGAAATGGAAACCTTCCGGGACATTCTGTGCCGACAGGTGGACACCCTTCAGAAGTATTTTGACTCCTGTGCAGATGCAGTTTCCAAAGATGAATTTCAGAGAGACAGAGGTAATATGTGGCTTCAGAAGGCCGTAAAAAATTTTTTGATCAAAAGCCCTTCTTTATGAAGATAACATTTCAGTACTGCACATCTGCGTTCGACCTTTAGCTTTACAGGAAAAGAAAAGCATTTATTGATGGCAGCTTCCTACTGGTTTAATGCAGCATTAGAGATGAAGAGTGGCTGGAATGGTTCACTGAGAGAAGAAAATCGATATCTGCTTACAGGACGTTTTGTGGTTTGTGTGATCTCTGAGGCAGCACCTTTTTATGATCTTCAGAATTCCTTTTTATATTAGGCCTACAGGGTTTTAGCCTAACATCTGTGTGAAAAACACACATCTGTTCCCAAAACAGCTGAGAAATAGTGTATACTCTGAAAAGATAAAACAATCATGCAAAGCTTAAACAAAAGCTTTTTCTTATCACTTGTAGAGGAGGATGAAGATGAGTTTCTTACACCTACTAGACCAGATGGTGAACACAACAACAATGGCAGCAAAGAGAAACGTGAGTCTGCATGCATTTAAATGAAGGACGCAGTCGTTCTAAGCAACTAAATCCTATTCTTTTCAGTGTAATTATTGGATTAAAGTTGAAGTTTAAAATCATTTTCCTTCTTTCTCTTTGGTCCAGTGTTTTCTCCCGCCAGTCCCAAAGGTATCAATGGGATAGACTTTAAAGGAGAAGCCATCACCTTTAAGGCCACCACAGCTGGCATCCTCTCCACTCTGTCCCACTGCATCGAGCTGATGGTTAAACGAGAAGACAGCTGGCAGAAAAGGCTGGACAAGGTACGGCACTGTTAGAGACTCCTGAGAAACTGAGCCTCATTATCATGAGTATGTCATGCATCAACTTCCTGATTGGGTGCATTGATGCCTACTGGGGAGTGAACCTGATATATTTCTTTGATGTTCGGGCAGCATGGAAGATTATGCTCAAATTTATTTGAGCATAATCTTAATTTGTTTTAAGTCTAAAGGTTTTAGAATTTAATAACAAAAACCTGACTAGAGGTATACAAATAATGAAATAATGGATTAAGCCAATCAACGCATATCCTTGAGGAAAAACTGATTTTTGTATCCTAAACTTCATGGTGTTAAACTGACAGATCATAGGGTTGGACAAAGGGGTCAGATCTTATATCATCGACATGGTTTAATTCTGATATGGATATAAGTAACATGAAAGACTCAGAATGACCCCAACAGATGCCTGTAGAAACTTATGAAATTTATTTTGTCACATTTATGAAGATCTTCCAAAAAAATGCATCTGTTTTTATTTGGAGCTACAAGCTGAACCGATTAAATGAACATATAACAGCTGATTATCTCCCTTCCCATATTTCTCTCCAAGAGTTCTCACCTCTCTCACAGCTTCTGTTAATGCCTCTTTTATTCAGTTTTTATTTTGACGGACTTTCATATGTTTAACCCAACCGTTGTTAAAAATTAGGAAGACGACTACTAAATGGCTCTGAAAATGCAAACTAAAGGTCCCCAGTCAATCCTGAAACATCTAGCCTTTGATAAACTCTCATTGATACTCTAAGCACAGGTATTTATTTTCAAAAATCCTCCTATTAAGGTTTTTCTTTCTTTCTCTCACTCATGCCATAGCCCCCCCACTGTAGTTTAGGGTAGTAGGTTTATTATAGATTTCCCACTTTAGTAAAACAAAACAGATCCCAGCCTTATCTTGTACCTGGGTGCAGCAATCACAAACAAAAACTTTATGACAGCAACGACCAGGTCAGTTAAAACAAAATAAAATTCACACATCTCATTATGTTACATGAAGGCTCCCTGTGAGAGGTGACAAACCGGTGCTCTCCTTTTATTCGAAAGCTGTGCTCAGCTCTTTTATTCTGACTGTAGCTTTAAGCTACGGCACCAGTTCTTTAGAACTTGTGTAGATGTTTGGTCACCTTATCATGGCTACTAATTTTGTTTCTTAAACTTACCCTATTGGAGCTCAGCGTACTGCTAATCACAGCTTGCAGGCACTGTGTTGATGCTCACATAGCCAATATGTTGGAAACGCTGTAATCACAGGCTGTCACATATATTAAAGCACCAGAAATGCATTTAAAATTCGTATAACCTTTATTATAAATAAATAAAATTATATCATGATATTAAATTATTGTCCACACCTAACGGATCGATTCACGGTAGAGAATATTTGTGAATTGGAAACAAAGGTCTGCTTGGTGTTTTATTAAGGAATCTGAAAAGTGTGGCATACCCCTGAGCTTGAAAGTTGTAGTATTACTGTTTTGCTGGGATCACTGATGCATCTCTGTTTTGTTAAATTGTTTTCTTCTTTACAAAATCAAAAAACTCACTTTGGATTAAGTCTGCACATTGACTGAGCTAACTTGACACACAGATATAGTTTAAACTAAACTTGCTCTGACCAAATTATTGGGCTCATCGTCCTGCTGGAAGGTATAACTCTACTTCCCTCTGTGTCTAACAGCCCATAGATGTTGTTAACATACATACGTAGGGCCATACATCTTCCCAGCAGTTCTGATTTAAAATATTCTGTCCCTGCTGGAGAAAAGCATCCCCACAGCATGATACTTCCATCGCCATGTGTCACTGTAGGGGAAATATGCGCAGTGTGCAGTGTTCCTTTTTACCATGCATAGTTTTTACCTGAACGCCTTCATCTACATGATTGGTGACTCCTACTCGTCATTCTGTCATCAAGACCATACTTGTAGAGTGTGTGACTAATCACTGTTCTATCAACCGACTTCCGATTCTCTGCAGCTTCTTCCCCAGCTTGTCTGTTTACCCGGACGGCCATGTCTTGGTCTTAAGGCTGCACCTAACCATTTTGCTAACTGATAAATTTGCTGATTATTTTTTATTTTTTGTTTTTACATTATTAATCCAATGGCAAAAAAATATTGCCTTTAAGAAGATTTTATATGGAATTTATATCAATATATTTACTTTTCTGAGGGTCTTTCTCTTTCATTTAATGTCATGTGTAAGAGTCTGTGTACTCAAGTTACTGATAAATGGATTATTTCCATGATTGATTTATCACAATTAATTTGATTACCTTCTTCAGCCCTATTTGGTAGTTTTATTCTTCTGCCATAGTCTTTCAGTTTCACATTAAGTTCATTAGTGCTCTATGAGAGGTTTAAATCTATTGTTGTTTAATGTCCACCAATGAATCGCCCCTGATTTAATTTTGGATGATCAGTCAGTGCTTACAAAGGAAACTGATCCTCTGCACTGATCGTATCTAAGTACACGAAGTTCTGAAAGTCAGCTGCTGTAAATGCTCTAAACTTTTGATTTATATTTAAGAACTGACCACTAGGCTGGAGTGGCGGCCTAGTGGTTAGGGCATAAGGCCTGAAATCCTGTGAGTTCGAAACCTACTCCCACAGACTGCCTCTCTGAGTCTCTGAGAAAGACCCTTAACCCCCGATTGCTCCCTGGGTGCTGCACAGTGGCAGCCCACTGCTCCCCAAAGGGGATGGGAATGCAGAGAGTTAATTTTTCCATTGTGAGATAAATAAAGTTCAATTTATTTTATTTATTATTTAGAAACATCTTTATGTGCAATTAAAACCAATTTATTATTAAGTCTCTTTCAATGAAATAGGATTAAAATATGAAAGCTGTGTTGTCACCTTATAAAACCTGAAAGTACAAATTATTAATGGCCAAAGTACGAGACGGCAGGTCAGCCTTTTAAAAGATTGGTGATCTGCCAGGAATCTGCAATCATGTCAATGAACTGGGAACTTCGATCTTTGCTTTGTTTCTCATTCTTCTTAATACTGTTTTTTGTTTATCAAATAGTTAATTTCATCTTTATTTCACCAGTACTGAGAATAAGTGGCAAGTTGACCTATAAAAGTAGGCATGTTTTATGGAAATATTTGGAATAATGGGTCATTATCCTTTTTTTCCCCAATTATTTACTTTGTTGGTCTCACAGTGAATCCAGGTGAAATTTGAGGCTGCAAAAAAATTGACAGAAATCAGTATTGGATGCAGTGAACCTGTTTTGTTTGTCATTTTTGTCTTTTCTCTGTGTGTTTCTTCAGCCGTTCATTGTCTTTTTTTTCCTTTCATGTTACAAAGTGTTTTGTTGTGCTTTTAAATTCTGTCAGATGATGGTTGGATCACCTGGTTTAAGCAGAAGCTATCCAGTTATGTGTTTTAGCACACATTAGTATTTTTTTATTAATGTTATAATGGTATAAGTATCTTATTGCTAAAATGACATATCCTAAAGCTTTTTTTTCTCTCTCTCTCACCTTGTAATGCTATTTAAACTTGACTCTGTGCCTTTAAGTGTATGCTCTCTAGAGCTCACTGCCTGTCAAACCAGTTCCTATCCCCCCCCCCACCGTTTTAAAGGCGTGCCACCTAAAGCTACAACTCAAAAGCCGGGAAGTGTTTCGGCTGAACTACAGTCAGGTGAAACCAGCTCAAACATTCCTTCGGTTTAATGGCTTGATCGTATTCTGATTTGGGAGGGATTTTATTTACAAGAAGAATTTAAAAGCAAAAACCCAACTTGGACTCATTCTGAGACGGCTTTTTAAAAAATGACCTCTTTGACTTCTTGGTGGAAACATTCAAAACAGCGGAGCACTGAGCTGCTCAAACATCAAACACAAAGATGGATACCTTTACAGACTTCCAACATTACAGTAGGTCTCTCCGTCTGTCTGAGCTGTAACAGGATCAGCTTTTGTTTGTTTTGTGGCAGGTTGTGTTTGTCTTTACTCGTTTTTGCACCCGGCTTGGTGACATTTTGTTCTCTAAAAGCTTATTTTTAAATGTATTCAAGTTTAGCTACCATTTTATTTTATGATCAATCTTTGCAACATAGGCAAAGCGTGCAGAGCTTAGTGCATTTTATTGTTTTAGTTTATTACGCCTCGCAGAGATAACACACTCACACACCCTTACCTTTTCATTTTCATTTTAACTATTAATGAACAGCGGAGAAGCACTTATTACCTTGTGTATTCGCTGTAGTGAATTCTCTCATGAAAGCTGTCGCTGTGTGAACACAGCCTAATATTGCAATGTTTGCTGAATTTGAGACACGCAGACCCTTATTTTCATCACCCTTGATCCCAGACTTATCTCTCTAATCTGAAGAAGTAAAGCAGAGTTAAAGATGGGAGTAGCAGCCACACCAAACATACTTTGTTACTCTGCTTGTGAGCAGGAGATGGAGAAGAGAAGGAGGGTAGAAGATGCCTACAAGTCTGCAATGAACGAACTGAAGAAGAAGTCCCACTATGGAGGCCCAGACTATGAGGTGAAGCTACATTGTTTGAGCTGAACTGGCGGTTAATTATTGATCCAGCGGCCATGTGCTATTTGTTTATCATTGTGGACCTTGCTTCGAGCCATACTCATGTTGTCCGCTGGTTACAGGAGGGGCCAAACAGTTTGATCAACGAGGATGAGTTCTTCGACGCGGTGGAGGCTGAGCTAGACCGGCAAGATAAAATAGAAGAACAGGTGGGATGCATAACTTCAGAGATGTGCAAGTTCGGCTACAGAGAAGCTTGTATGAACACTGAACAGAAACGCTGTTTCCAGCAGAGCCACTCTGAGAAAGTCAGGACGCCACGGCCGACTCCGGTTTCTCCTGCTGATGTCTTTTCTGCCATCGGTACTCACCGATTTGCCAACAAGGTAAGCAGGGTATCCGTTTGAATTTCATAATTTACTCAGCCTAGTGTCAACAGATGGGAAAAACCCTGATGTATTCTTCTCTTTATCGCACCAAGTTATTGTAGTAATTCATTTTTAAAAGGAAACTAGTAATACAGAGATTCATTACACCCTGAGGTTCATATTGCATTTATTTTTGTACATTATAATAATTATGGCTTATAGGTAATAAAAACTTTAATCTTTGTTGCTCAGAAATCTGGCAGATAAAAATTATTAAGCCACATGGATGCTTCTTAAGATGTCAGCTGTATGCAGAGTGCTTCAATTAAGCTTATTAGTGAAAGGGGAAAAAATGCACACACATCAGGTTCAACTTCAGCTTTGCATAAGTTGTAAAGTGCAGCTCACTTAATAGTTCAGGGGGAGATTCAGGAGGCCTGATGAGCAGCTGGAGTCACTGCTTCACAGCCTGGAAACACAAACATACACAGGACATAGGAAACAGCTGTCTCCTAAACCAGAGACGACTAGCTGGACCATCTCTCAGGAGACCCATTTAATATTAAAGTATCTTTTCTGTCTTACTTGGAAATCAAGCCCTAAAGTCCAAGATGATTTTCTTCAGTGTGAAGCTTTCATGCAGTAATAATTTAAGGAGCGATATTATCTGCAGCTGTTGGTCAGCTGTGTTTCATTCAATTCAGAGTCAGATTGTGATTTCTAGCATGACTTGGATCTTGCCAACAGTACCATCAGGTTTAACTATCACTGTGCTCACAGATGATGTTTAGGTGGCTATTAAAGCAGCTTCCTTTAATTTATGCAAGAGGAACCCAGACCAAGTACCAGATGTTTACACAGACAGCTTATAGACTTCGGCTTTTTGTTTTTGTGTCACAAATGTTTTTATTATTATCTCTTTATGTAAGCTTCAACTGTTTATTCGTAAGCCACCATCTAAGGGACCAAAGATGACAAAAATAAATCCCTCTTAGTTTAATGCATCTATATGAATATCAGTTTCTGAAAAGTTACCAGAATAAGTTAAATTAAAGGTTCTATTAGGACACACTTTTATTTTCCTGTAAACTTGCCTCACACTAGACTTTGTTCTTCTCTTGACTCTAAATGTTACTTCCTACGCTTTTCCTCTGTGTTCTTTTCTCTTTGAAACATCTCTCTGCTGAACAGCCTGGTAGCTATTCCTCATCCGTATCCTCAGTTGAGCTATTCAACGCCTCTGATGACGTTCACAGATTCAGCTTTCAGGTACTGCAGCCCAGGAAGCCATGAGAACCTTTAGGGTGATGCAGGAGCCCGCTGCTTTTTAAAGCATGAAGCTAGCATGAGAACGCTCTTTAACAACTCCATCCATGATGTTCTGAATATTTCTCTCTCTCTCTCTCTCTCTCTCTCTCTCTCTCTCTCTCTCTCTCTCTCTTTCTCTCTCTCTCTCTCTCTCTCTTTCTTTATTTATTTATTTATTTATTTATATATATATATATTTATTTATTTATATATATATATATATATATTTATTTATTTATTTATATATATATATATATATATATATATATATATATATATATATATATATATATATATATATATATATATATATATATATATATAAATAAAAACAGGCATTCCTTCCTGGAAGTTGTTCCAAAGCTGCATGACTTTAATTTTAAGAAAACCTCTAATTGAGTGCCGATTTCTTATCTTTTCTTGTTTTAAAGGCATGGGCATGCACCTGTGCAGATGTGGAATGCTGTTTTAAAGCACTGTTTAGATGCGGAGGAATCCCCTCCAGCCAGAGCCTTCTGTTGATTTGTATTTGGTTTCTGCTCCTTAAATTTCTGTTGCTCTGAGGCAAATGGTCTCCCTGTTGAATTCCATGTATGCCGGCTAAAATGTTTTGAATCGGTTTATAAAGGTTTACATTTCCGGGTGAATTATGCCCAGATTTGAAGCTCAGCCCAAAATAGGCCAGTTATGTAAAATACTGTCTAACCTGAGTTTCTTGAATGTCTCTCCTTGTCTCAGGTGGAGGAGATGGTGCAGAATCATATGACTTATTCTCTTCAGGACGTGGGTGGAGATGCCAACTGGCAGCTGGTAATAGAAGAAGGGGAGATGAAGGTGGGTAGAGAGGAGACAGCGGCCTGTGAATCATTTCCCTCGGCTCCAAGCTGTGACTTCCTAACATACAACCTTTTTTTACCTTACTGATAGAAGAATTCTCTAAAATAAGTCAACTACTCCTTAAAGTCCAATGATTATGCAGCAAAGGAAAAAGTTATCTACAAATGTCGGGACGCTTGGTGTCATTTTAGGCGTGGGTGGATTTAAAAGACTGTCCTGCTCTTTATGTTGCATAAATAGGTTTACAGGAGGGAAGTGGAGGAGAACGGCATCGTCCTGGATCCTCTCAAAGCCACTCACGCCGTCAAAGGCGTAACGGGACACGAGGTCTGCCACTACTTTTGGGACACAGCGGTCAGGAATGATTGGGAAAGTAAGTTCTCAGTGACAGGGAGGAGAACATCACTCCAACACTTGTTTGGCTTCTCTGGTTTCAATGTCGTGACCCGACTGACTGTGAGCTCTCCCACCCACAGCCACCATTGAAAACTTCAACGTTGTGGAAACACTTTCCGATAATGCCATCATTGTTTACCAAACGCACAAGGTAGGGTAGATTCAGTTTCAATTGGTGGATTTTTACTGAAATGATGTGCTGATTGGATGAGCAGATTTCTGCAGCTGTTCGTGTTTGCGTTGCAGAGAGTGTGGCCTGCTTCTCAGAGGGACGTTCTCTATCTGTCAGCCATCAGGAAGATTCTGGCAACAAACGAAAACGATCCCGACACATGGCTAGTGTGCAATTTCTCTGTCGACCATGACGGTGCTCCAGTAAGTGATAACAAAACACTGCTCGCCATAGCCAAGTTTCACAATTTCTCATACTAGTTTGTAGCATTTGTTTAGTTTTTAAAAAATTAAAAACTGCAACAATTTTTTTAAAAGAATATTAATTTCTTAAATTGATGATGTTGCTTTAATGTTCGCTTATTTTCTCTGGAATCCACTTTCTACAGAAGTGAGAATCAGTCAACCAGCAAGAATTTATGTTGTTTATTCTAATCAGCATAATGAAAACAATAATTTAAATCATAAGTAAAGTATCTCATTTTCAGAGATAATTTTGCAGCAAAAAAAAGATATAAAAGAGGAATAATTTTTAAAATAAAACTTTGTCTTTGATGTAACAAAAAGCAATCCTTATTGAAAGCTATGTATAAGTTCACCACTGTTTGCCTCATTGCTGTTTAACAATATGTCTTAGTGGGTTTTGATTGTAGTTAGAGAAGTCCAATAGTTTTCCTCTCAGTATTCACAGGAGGCAGCTTGGTAGCTTTGGGAATGTTTGTATAAATGTGTTTTTTGTTTTGCTTTCAGCCCACAAACCGGTGTGTCCGTGCCAAAATCAATGTGGCCATGATCTGCCAAACTCTGGTCAGCCCACCAGAGGGCGATAAAGAGATAAGCAGAGACAACATCCTCTGTAAGATCACATATGTTGCCAATGGTAGGTGCCTCTAGCAGCCATCTGGTTTTGATCCCATAATTACACAAAGAAAAAATAAAAAAGCTTCCTTTTTATGGTTTATCTGCTTTCCATTTTCCTCTGACTATCATAATGTGGTGCCGGTCCAGCTGGTTTGAGTCTTTGCATTAGAATAATACCTGAGTTTGAGGTTTGATAGTTATTTACAGACCCTGTAGTTAGACCCTGTTTCTACTACAAACACAATCCTTCAGGGCTTCACAGCTGGATTGATTCATTTAGTGTGCTTCTAAATAGCTTGTTAGCTTTCTACCATTTCATACATTTTTGCAATAAGCTCATGCTTTGACACATTTTAACTAAAGGTAAAGGAATCATTACTGGACAATATAAGAGCTTCACTTCAGAAGATAAAGTAAATGCAGCAGCTATGCTGCAGCTCCAGTAGATATTTATTTGGATTTAGATGAGCAATCAGTCCATAAACCTTTGGAGTTTCTCTCCAACTCTGGAATGGGTTTAATCTCACAGCCTTCTCAAGGCTGCAGTTATCTGTTATTTTGTACATTTTTTTTCTACCACACTTTTTCCTGCCACTTAACTTTCCACCTGTATGTTTAGATACAACACTTTGAATCCACAGTTTTTTTTCTCATTGGTGTTTTTGCAAAATCTAGGTTTCTCTGAGAAACTTAAAGTTGGGATTGCATTACCCATCAACGTGTTTATTGCAGGAATGGACCACACGAGTTTCACTTCTAAGTCCTGAAACATGTGACCTTTTCAGCCATATTCTAGTTCTAAAATGCATCTTCTATCGCTTTATTATATATTGTTATTTTAAAATCAACTAACACAAGAACTAAGTACAACTGTGTCTTTGTGTAGGGAAGCGTCTTGCTGCTGTCTGGTCTGACAGTGTCAATCAGTTGTTTCCTAGATTTATTTTTTAAGAAAAAGGGCAGTTCTCTGTTTTCACTAGATGACATTCTACCCCATCGTCTTGAATTCGTTGTGAATTCCTAATAACTGGTCATATATGGAGGCAAACTGTGAAGCAAGCTGATGATTGTCTCCCGTCTTCCTGCAGTAAACCCTGGAGGCTGGGCTCCAGCTTCAGTCCTGAGAGCCGTAGCCAAGCGAGAGTATCCCAAGTTCCTCAAACGCTTCACCTCCTACGTTCAGGAAAAAACAGCTGGGAACCCCATTCTCTTCTGAACACTAAGAGGTAATCCGCATCAGAAACTCCAATTTATTTATGCTAGGATAAAAGACAAACAACAAATTGTAACCTTTAATTTATTTATTTTTTTTTCACAGTTTTATTTCTCCTAATCCTGTCAGGCTTGTCCATCATAGATATGATGCTCTTCAATCAACAAACTGTCAGAAAGCACAAGGCTCCCCTTCTTTTTATTTAAACAACAACTCCTAGCAGGACTGCATATGATCAGGACGTCCCGCAGGAAGATGAGGGCACTAACACCAATCCCTCATCCTACTGGCTGCTGCGGTCTGGTGGCCATGAAAGTGCATTTAAACTCAGTTCAAGAGTTTTTGAAAGATTATCAATTAGTTGTGCTTTTCTTTCTTCTTTTTTTGTAAATTGTTTTGTACATTTCTTATGATTCCCTCTATCTGGACGTTTTTTTGGGTGTGCTATAATCACTAGTATTACAGCTGCTTGTTCTGCTGCTGCTGCTAAAGGAAAGCACCACGGCAGAGGAGTGTGGCTGCTCCCAGGAGCAGCTGCCCCCCTGTTCTTGCCTTGTCCTGTCCTTCTTTTGACAACTCTTTATTGTTCGATGGGGGGTCAGAGCCTACAGCTTTGAAATCTTTATATTTCTAAATTGTTATAAACTAGTTTTCAGAGAGCACATAGACACAATGTATTGTACAGAGAGTAACTTTTCAGTTAGTTTACCAACATGACAAATGTGAATTGACTGTTAAACGCTTGAATCTGATGACAGTAATGAGCAAAGGTGATGGGAGAGTGAGAGATTTTGATTAACTTTTCTTGGACCATTTAAAAAAAAAAAAAAAAGCTAAACTGATAAAGTGGAAGACTGGTCTGAGGAGGCTAAGTTATGATCAGCATGTCTCTCTTTAACCTTCAGCTCAGTGTTTCAGTCAGACATTTGCAAATAATTGCATCTGATGGAAGGATTCCTCTCTTTAATTGAGAGAGGATAAGATCCACTTAGTACGTCGTTTTTTTAAATAATTTGCAAGAGAGAAAATAAATAGCCATTTGTATACGTCAGGTTTAAAAATGGGATCTGCCTTTGTCCAACCGAAGGGAAACTGTTAGGTGTAAGGAAGTATATCAATCATACCTTTCGCTTTCAGTTGTGCAAAATTTACATTTCACACTACGGTGCAGCGGCATCCAGTCGTTTGACTGATAAATTAACCTCCCCCCCCAAAGAATGCCTTAGACACCAGGGTGAACCTTAAAACATTCAAGATTTCTCTACTTTACAGCCACCAGACGTGCATTTATCAACACTGCATTGAAGCTGGGGGGAGTGGTGGGTCCACATTTCACGTCATCGTACCTCATGACTTTTTAGATTGTGTTTTAACGCCACCGAGCGTTGGGAGTTTTGCCATTGGCTGATCTGCATGGTTTGGAAAACTTACCTGCAGATTTAATGATCTCAGAGGTTTGGAAGGTTCCTGATTATCGTTCTGCTAATAGTTTAGATTGTCACATCATCTGAAGAATGCAGTTAGGGTTTTTAATTGTATTTTGTCAGCAATCTACAGACTTTGTATATTTCTAAGTTGTACATCCGAAGTGTTATTATTTGCACTAAATGTATTTGCATTTGACAATGTTCTGTAAAGTAAAATTATTACACAAACGACCTGAATAAAAGTGTACTGTTTATGCAAACCATCAATCGTTCACACTTAATGACCCCTTTGGTAAAGAAATGAGAAAAGCAATATAAAATCAGCATGTCTTCCTGTAGCTTAATTTAAAAATTTCACTAATATACAATTTATTTGTGAATCTGATGGAAAAAAATAACAGTTATAAAATGATTTTTTTTTTAAATGGTGATAATGTTGGCACCACTACTATCAGTTTAAGTTGGAATGAAAGGATTTATATTTTAAAGGGAGATGGGAAGAAAATATAACAGAAGCTCTGATGGAGATTGGCTGCAAATAGCACATGGGGGCAGGTTTTTGTTACTGAGACAGATTCGCCCGGAGGCAGAAAAAGTTTATTCTCCTAGCGCCAAATATTTTGGGTTTTCTCGCTGCTGCTGATAGGGATTTTTATGTTTTTCTGAACACATTTTTTTTTTATAAAGAACAAGTTTGACTGGGTCAGGGAAACATTTTCAGTCGCTGATTGTGATCAAATATTTCAGTTTTTATATTTAATTCAGGATTGTTCTCAAACTTCAAGTTTAACACTTTGCTGCTGGAATAAACGCTTATCTAGAATTCAGACTTTACATTTTTACAATTTGACTGCACACTGAGGAGATAATTCAGCCATTTGAGGTTTATGGAAGTAGATCGAGCTTAAAGGTGCCGGACATCAAACCTCAAGGAGAATAGTTGAAGATCCCTGTCAGTGGGGTGAGGCTAGTCCTCTTACCTGAACATTAATGTGAAGAAAATGTAAGAAATAGGCCTCCTCCCTCTGCAGTCTTTATGTATTGGATAAGGAGTAAAGGTGGTGCAAGAATACAAGTAGCGGAGCACAAATATGGACCATAAAATGAGGCCCAAGCAGATGTTGCAGCATGTTGCAGTGTGCAGAAACGCCCACCAGAGGGTGCCCTTTCTCAAATAGCTGATAAGCCCAGCTGTTGATGTTTTTATGGAAATCTTTGTCACTTCCTTACCTCATTTTCTCTGCACTGTTAACGTTTTCTGGATCTAAAACTATTACCACTTGAAGTTTTTTTTCTTTATAATTGGTGTAAAATTATTGCAGTGAATTATTGACCATTGAGCAAAGTCAACACATTTTGTTGGACCACACCCTTCCAGCACCAGAGTTTGAGCTCCTCTCCTCTCCTCACACCCAACCAAACCTGTACAGTACCATTCTCATTAATTTGAGACCTCTTTAATAGATGTATCAATAAGGAAAACTACACAGCCCAGCAGTAGAAAAGAGCAGACTGATTCTTCTAGAGGATTAAAAACTAAGTTCTCCTTCAGGAAGTCAAAAAAGCTCATTCAGTGATTTTTAAAGAAGTTTATTTATAGGAAGCATTCCTGTACATAAATATGTATTTTCTTTACATTCAGCAACCTAAGTGTTTATTTCAGCAGATGGTGAATGATTAAGATTTGCGCAATAACTTATTTTCTCATCAGACTTGATTGTGGAGTTGAACGTTTATAGTTGGCCATGATGAGGTATCAGAGAGCTGCATGTGTAGGATTCATGTCTCATAACGTACTTGTTCCATTTCAGAGAGTCCTGAGCAGAAGCATCCCAATCATGAGGCCAACCTCAAAGCTGGCAGTTCCACATCAAACATGATGTGCAGTGCTCCTTTCTGTGCCTCTACGTGTCGTATCAACGATAAAACAGGTGTGCATTTGTAGAGGAAGGAAGAAATAAAAAAAGTGCATTTTCACACATCCGACTCTGTGCTTATTGTCTCGTGGACCACCCACCTAAGAAATGTCTTTAGAGAAAAGAACATGTTTCTTACAGTAATTGGGACCAATGTCAAAAGTGCCAGCAGCAAGTGCATCGTCCAGGATCAGCTAACCGTCTCGTCTCACTCTCAGCATCGTGTTCTCCTTTTGCAGCACAAATAGCTGTTTTGTTAGGAACATTTGGCCACGTTACAGTCTGTGTTTGGCCTCAGGAGCTTTTATAATCAAGTCTGTTCAAGTGAGTTGATCCTTCATAGAGCAGTCCTTAGATGCTGCCATAAATTCACTGTAAACATTTCTTAGCAGCAGCCCTCCCTGCTGCAAACATTTAAGTCTTTCTGGTAACCAGAAAAAGAAATGTATGCTGCGAATCGATGAAAAAACAACAGACATATAAAACTTAATAGGGCTGCTTTGAAACGTGCTGTAGAAAGGCTCACGTTGGTACTGCTCTAACGGTGAAGACGTCCGTCAACCAAACAGGCGTTCGGAGGTTGTCTTTTTGAATTGGCAACAACAAATGGCATCGTGCATGTAGCGGAGCTAGCGGAGACCGACTTCCAGTCCGGTGCATCCAATGGAGTGTGGAGATTGTCTTATGCGTAGCAGGAGGCAATGAAGAATTTAAAAACAACTTTACTGTAAAAGAAAGAACAAAGTTATGGTTAAAATACGTTATAAAGCAGATATTTTAGAAGAAAGGAAGTCACAATTGCTCCTTTTTATATATATACACATCTATTTTTTAATCATACAAAAATAACCAAAAATATAATTTTTTTTATTTTAAAAAAACATTTTGACTTTAAAAAACAGGAAAGCACTACCATATATGAAAGATTTAGCATCTCCAATGGAGTCATCTGGAAACCTCTCAAGGTAATAAATTCGAAATAAATGTTTCGTTTTCTTTCTTTTTCTTTTCTTTTTTTTTTAAAGAAAGTCTTAAAGATCATTTTTAAAGGGTGTGGTGCCACCAAAACATTGTTTAATGTTTTACCATAAAATTGTTTATTTTTTTCTGTGTCTGAGACAATGTGAGAGTATTCGCTGTCGCTGCTCTGATTGTATCTCGGTGTTTTGCTTTCCCGTCTATTTGCCACATTTGTGAAAATATGAAAAGACATAAACCTTCCTGAGTTAAACATATACTGACTACGTGATGGAATGTGAGGCTTTCAGAGTCGCTGCATGACTCACTGATATAAAGTAGACTTTACTGTTGAGTTGCTGAGAGGAACATTTTGAAGGCATCAGAGTAACAATGATTGGGAGCAGAATGGAAGATGGCTATTTAAATGATGAATTCAGTCTTCATTGTGAGATCAAGCTACCTTCATGGCACTTTTAAATCCCTGGATGGGGTGCTAGTTTGCTAGGTTTCCAAGGTTCTTCTCTCAGACCACGTTTTAAGTCCATATATAAATCTGAAACCTTTGTGTTTCACATTCACAGTAAAAGTAAGTGAATGTGAGTGAGTGGCGCGCCCCCAAGAGGACCTCTTGAAAACAGCAGGGTCGTAAAGACTGACTGCTCTCTGCATGCCCTGCACCTCACAGCTACAGTCCACTATCACTCTCTAAGCAGCTGGAGGACGTACATCATTTATTCCTCTACAAAGTTAATTTAGATTATAGGTTGTAAATTATAAATAAACTGAATTCAATCATATTATAAATATAATAGATGTTCCTAAAAGTAACCCTGCAGGGATCAGAGATATAACTTACCAAGTACACGTCAAGAACCGATCCATCGTCCCGATCTATGTCTACATCTACGGTGCTTTGCTCTGAAGTGAGGCAGATGGCGCTGTCCTCCAGCGTGAATGTAGAGCTGGATGCAATATCATACCTGCAACAGGACAGTGCATTTAGAAGTGAACTTTTACCCAAACCTGAGAGTTTTTTTTCTCAGATTTGAAAGCAGCTGCGTAAACAGGGTCTGAGAACAGGCAGAAACCTAAAATACTTTGCAGAAATAAATCATAGCCAACTAGTTTAGTATCAAAAGACTCAGTCTGGGTTCAGGATTTGAATCTGTCCAAATGTGAATCATTTGACTCGCTCACTTCAGACTGTGAAAATACATGTCTGGTCAGAAGCTGATTTATACTCATAGCTTTAAACCTCTACTTTTGCAGGTTGAAAGTGTTTCACTACAGGCCTTTTATGGCCATCCACAAGCATTCTCCTTTGTTCCAGCTGGATATTGGACCACTCGTTTTTGCTGAATGGTTAAAACCATCTGAAAATAGCCAGATAGGCGATAAGTAACTTTGAACTGAAAGCTGCAGGAACACCCCCTCACTGTCTACAAGAACGGAAAACTGAACTTGTTCACACAGAGAAGCAAGATTTCTGGTGTTTTTTTCAGTCAGGGATGAAGCAAAAAGGATGCAACTTCAACAAAAAGAAAAGAGGAAGTTTGTAGGAAACACACTAAGGTTCAACCTTCAAGTTCTTCAACTGCCCCTCAGATCAGCAGCTAGATAGCTGAATGAAGCTGATCATGGCAGGTTTATGAAACCAACCAAACACTTTAATATTAGACAGATTAGAAAGAAATCCTAGAGAAGAAAATCCTAAAAAAAACATAGCATTGCTTCAAGCACTAGGTGGCGTCAAGAACACTTTTTTTTTTTTTTTTACTGTGTAGATCAGGTGACTCCCTGATAAATGCAGGAATGCATTGTAACCGTTCTATGACAGAAATCATTAATCGTTTTTTGTTAACAAAGTGAAAATGAATTCCAGAGAGAAGAAGATAGAAAAACAGATCGACTGCAGCTTTACACACCCCTCTCTGACTGCTCTTCACACAGGGCCCATTGTTTGCATATATCTGGCCTCTAACGCGCCACTTGTTCTACTTTGTCACAGCCTTTGTGTGGCCTGACATTGGCAGGTTAAAACTGTATCAAAGCTGCTGTTTAAATAAACATTAAAGCAGTCTAGAGGACAATGTAAGGGTGGCAGCAGGTGACTGACGAGACCCGGATAGTCCAAAAATGGAGCCTCTGGGAGAACGGCTGAGCTGACGTGGGCAGACAGGAAGGGAGGTGAAAGACAAACAGGTATAAAGAGGGCAGAGGACAAAAGATTTCTAGGAAGAGGCGTATTAAACAGCCTTCTGCCAGAGGGTGAGGTTTTACACCGAGGTGATCAAGGTGTAACAAAACCTGTTAATGTAAAACCATCAACTGGATTATTTGTCCGATTTAAAATGGGGCAACAGATAGCTTCTGTTTAATAATTG